TGCCTGGCTCACCCAGCAAGACTGGCGGGCAAGCCCAGGTGATCCTCAAGCCCATGTTTTCAGGGAGAGCACGGAGCTGATGTGATGCGCCCAGAGTTTCCAGATTGCCCAGTACGTGTGCCTGGTGGTCAAGTATGCCATGGACACCCACTACAGATTGGGCTTCTCCACCCATTATGGGAACACCATGGAGGTGTTGTGGGCCTGCCTGCTCCAGGACACAGCCTACGACGTCCTGGGCATAGCAGTCATAGGAATCCACAAAGGACACTTTTTCCCTGATAGCAGTATTGCTGGATTCAGCAAGACTATGGCCAATGCTGGGAAAACTTTGATCGGGCCTGCCCTGGACAGAACCTTCCAGAGGAAGGCGTTCAAGAACATCATGAACCTGGTGCTGCTGCATAACATGATTAAGCTGATGGCTGTGTGCATGGAGTGCTCCAGAGAGGCCCCCTACACCAAGAGACTGGGTGTCAAGAAAGAGGTGGAGATGCACACCCATGTTTATCACGGCTTTGTTCACGATAGCAAGGAGTTGGAAACAACCTAACTGCCCATCAACAAAGAATGGATAGAGAAGCTGTGGTATATTCACACATGGAATACTACGCTGCATTGAAAAACAAGGAACTCATGCAATATTCAAAATGGGTGACCCTCGAGGACATTATGCTGAGTGAAATATCTCAGTCACAAAGGGACAAATACTGCATAGTGCCACTGTTGTAAAACAGGACTGACATTGGGGTTGGGGAGAGACTGAGAAGGATGAGATAAATAATGTATACTGCATTGAAACAGAAAACTGTTTAAGAGCGATATGTGATTAGGTATTATTGTCATGACAAGAATCTGGAACAAAGGCTGCATAGTGGAGTAGACCTGGGGGGAGGGATTGTAAAACAATGGGGGAACTTTATTTTTCAAAGAGAAGAGTGTACTGGGAGGGAGGACTGGGCAGGAAGAAAAGTGCACCAGTGAATGAATGGAAATCCAAAGTCTCTGTAAATTTTCATTAAAATTAATAAAAAAATTATTTTAAAAAGAGGTGGTAGGCTGAACGGACAAGAATCACTCAGTGTTTTGCGTCTACTGCTTCAAAAAGGCTTCCTGCCTGCTGCCAAGACTGGACGACAAGGAGAACTGCCTGGTGCTGACGAGGCCAGTGGAGGCAGCCTGTATGCTCAAGCTGTTTGCCCCTCAGCAGGTCCTGCAGTGTATCCTACCTAGCCCACTAACTGAACAGGAGGCATGCCTACAGGACCCCATCACTGCTCCCCCTCTGCAGCCTCCTGGTGGTGCCCACTACACAAAACCAGGCTCATCTGGTGAGAGGGTCTTGGGGTTAGGACAGGTTTTGCCACCTTGTGGAACTTTCTACAGTGATAATGCCTGTTCCTGGCTGGTTACTTCCTTTTGGGGATTGCCAAGGTGCAAACCCTTGTTATATGGACTCTGCAGGCCTCTTCCCCTTTTTGACTTTTGCTGTTGAGTTTCTCTTCTCCCCAGAAGTCCCAGTCCGACTAGAGCACCCCAGGATGGCCCTTCCCTGTGGGCCAACAGCACACCCACACCCTCTGTGAGTTTTCTCCAGAGTGACTAGACCCTTCATACCCAAAGGGGCCTGGTGCTGTTTACACCTTTATGTTGTATTTGCTAAGTGAATCACTAATATTAAAATTAACCATTTGGGGGTGGGGAGAGAGAGGAAGACTAAAGTGCACCTGATTCAACCTGTGGTTGAATCACCTGCTATGTATCTGAGAGTAGGACAGCAAATAAGGATTACAGAAGAACCTATTCCTTTGAATTATGGTGTTAAAGAAGAGTATTGACTATTCCGTGGGCTGCTAAAAGAACAAACTGATTTGTCTTGGAGAATTTGCGAGCAGAGTGCTCCTTGGAGGCAAGGCCAGCAAAACTTTGTCTCACATACTTTGGGAACAGATCACTAAAACTTACTTTCTAATCTGTCTTGGTCTTGAAGCCTCTGCTGAAAGTTCTGATCATAAACAGCATGACTATCTCCACAGACAGACATGTAGTTGGTGTTTATGAAGTACATTGACTTCATAAATCAAACCCAAGTCTTTAACATAAGGGCATGCATTTCTACTATTAAACCACCACTGTCCCCCAGGTGCTTAAGTAGAAATATTTTTTTATTCATCTTGTTTGGTTTTCAGATTCCTGGACCTGTGGGTTTTGGAGTCTCTGTCAATAATTTTGGGTTACCCTTTGAACGTAGAACAAAATGCGCCTCAACTTCCAGCGAAACTGACTAGTAACACCAGGGAGGCACTCTGTCCTTAGAGTAATCAACACTGTAAGGTCCAAAGAGTAGCGTTTGCCCAAGGATCAAGCCAAGAGGGCAGAAAATGGAAAGACAAAGATTAATGGAAATGAGGATTACAGGGAAGTGGCAAAAGTGGAATACATCGTGGGTATTGTAATTAATTATAGAGAATGAATTATTGAGTTAATTTTCTTAAAACCCAAAATGTGTATGAATGGTAGAATGAAAAATCAATCTACTTTGCTAACTTTCCCTCAAATCACACTTGACCTGTCTGGGTGATGTTGATGGGCATGGTTATTTCATTCTTTAATTACTGTTTGGTTTTATCCTTTCTTCCTTAAGTACATTAATTTAAGTACTATCCACTGTGTAGCTGTTAGTTATTAGTATTTTTGTGTAGTAGGAGTATGGCTCACTATTTAATAGGTTTGCTTTACAGTGAACTGATCTCCAAAGATTTCCTTTTAGAAATCAGTGCCTCTCCCCCTCCCCTTATGTTCACAGTCCTTACTGTTTTACTAAATATTAAGTGTTCTTTGACAATTCTGGTGCTCACAGATTTTGGGGGATGAGTAAAATCAATCTGCCATTATCCTAGAAATTTTGTTTTGTTTTGTTTTTAGTAAATGAAGCCTATTTTATTACTTCAGGTGTTAAAAGATAAAAAAAATATCAGCGTAGCTGTTGTATTTAAAAAAGTGAAACTACGTACTATGGAAACTTTGTTTTTAAACCCACAGATCGAAGGTGCCTTAACAAATTTTTTTTCCATTTAGATTTTAAACTGATAGGCTTGTCATTTTAATATACATCACTGGAGATCTCTTAATGGCTTATTTGGAAAAATAAACCTGTGGAAAATAGTTTTGTATTGTTCTTTTTTTAAAAAAAAATCACACATGAAAAGGAGAGAAAATGAAAAAAACAAGCCCATTTGGATCATTGTTAGCCATTATGACTGTACATATTCTTTTCCGTCTCTCTTTCTTTTGTGATAGTCTCATGCTACATGTGGCACCTTTTGTAATTATCTCACATTTCTTGACTGTTTTCTCCTTCATTTCTTTGCTGTCCAGTTGACAGTTTTTATTGACATATCTTCACCCTTACTGATTCTTTTTTGTCTGCGTCCAGTTTACTAGTCTTTCACTCATAGGGTTGTTGGGGGTCCCCTACGACTCGACGGCACTTAACAACAAACGACAACCAATTTAATGATGAATCCATCCAAAGTATTATTAATTTCTGTTCTAGTATTTTTTCTTTTTATCATTTTCTTTTTATTCCTCCTTAGAGTTTCCACATCACTACTTATATTACCTATGTGTTCTAGCATGCTGCCTGTTTTTTCTGTTAAAGCCCTTATCAGATTAATTGCACTTATTTCATACTCTCTATCTGATAATTACAAAACCTCTGCTATATTCTAGTCTTGTCTGAAGTTTGTCTTGTTATCTCACACTATGCTTTAGCGTTGTTGTTATTTTTTGTTGAAGATCAGACATCCTATATCAAACTAAAGGAACCTCTATTATAGTTTAATGTGCTGTCGAGCCACCTGCCACTCATAGCAACCCTATGTACAACAGTCCTAAACCTTGCTCTATCTTGTGCCAGCCTTATTGTCTCTGACTCACCTACCTCCATTACCTCAGTCACTGAATCAATCCATCTCACCTAGAGTCTTCCTCTATTGCGCTGTCTCTCCACCCTCCCAAGCATGACATCCCTCTGCAAGGACTGGTCCCACCTTACAACATGTCCAAAGTATGTCAGACAAAGCCTCAGAATCCCTGCCTCCAAGGAGCAGCCTGCTCTCACCCTCTCTAGGATGAACCTGTTTGTTCTGCTAGCAGCCAGTGGTATATTCAAAACTCTTCTGCAGCACCACAGCAGAAAGACATTAATTCTTCTTCTGTCATCCTTAGTGATTACCCAGCTTTCTGATGCACAGCAAGTAATTGCAAAGATTATGGCCTGGATCAGGTCTCCAGACTTAGTCTCCAGACTGTCGTCATTGCTCTTCAGTACTTTGGAGAGGTCTCTGGCAGCAGACTTTCCCATTGCAATTTGCCTTTTGATTTGCTGGCTGCTGTTACCAAGAGTGTTGATTGTGGAGCCAAGCAAACTAAAGCTGTTAATAATCTCAATGCCATCACCATCTATCTTGATGTTGCCAATTGGGCCAGTGGTGAGAATCTTTGTTTTTCTAATTTTGAGCTTCAATCCATAATGAAGTTTACAGTCCTTGACCTGCAACAAGTGCTTCAGATCTCCTCAGTTTCAGCAAGTAGTGTTTTGTCATGTGCGCAGATTGTTGATGAGTCTTCTTCCAATCCTGATGCCACATTTCTCTTCATAGAGCCCAGCCTCCCAGATAATCTGTTCTGCATATAGACTGAAAAGTTATGGAGGACACATACCTGGCACACACCCTTCCCAATTTTGAACCCTACAGTGCTTCCTTGCTCTGTTCTGATGACTGCTTCCTGGTCCAACTATAGGTTTCACATAAGCACAGTCAAGTGTTCTGGGATTCTCATTCTGCTTTATAAAGTGTTTATTAGCTTTTTGTCTTATGGAGAAGCAGTAGCAGTGATGAATAGATATGGCAGAAGCCAGTTAGGGTGAATGTTGGTGGGGAAAAGGGAAGCTTCAGTGTTGAGCCTAACTCTGCTGGTCTTTTCTCTCCTGCCAGCTTATCCAGTCAGCAGCTTGCTGCCAGAGAGAGCTGTTGTGAAAATTAATGAAGAAGTAACTCTTGAGTGTGAGTCACATAGGTTCTACCCAGAATCCATTAATATAACGTGGGTGAAGATGACTCAGACGGACCCTCATGCCGTGGAGATTTCTGAGGATGTCATCTCAAGTCACACTGTCAAGAACAAAGATGGCACACTTAATACCACTAACTACCTGAAGTTCAAGCCCTCATTAGATGATAATGGGAATATCTATCAGTGTGTAATACGGCACAAGCTCCTTTTAACTCCCGTGAGGTTCAACTTTACCCTCACTGTGATCAGTAAGCATTTTCCTGAACATTCTTTACTTTCTCTGGTGGGACATAATAAAAACTTTGGCTCCCAGATGAAGTAAGATCTTTACTGAGAGCCAATGGGGAAGAAAACTTGAACTAGAGGGATTAGAACTGAGGTCAGCCCCAAAGTTAGCAGCACACACCTAAGTCTCAAAGCCAGGCCACCTGATCCAGTGAGTGAGGGGAAGTTACAGTAGACCTCAGGAGAAAATAGGCTGCTTTTCATTGTCCGCTCTTGGCAGCTTCAGAATGTTAGCTGGTCTTTGTGGCTTGGAGTAGAAAGTTTGCCAGCCGCTAGGGACCTGGAAACAGGATCTTAGCTGCTAGGGACCTGGAAACAGGATCTTGTCTATGTACCATGAGGATAATGGACTGTCAGAGATGATCCCTCCTTTCAGCCAGTTTGATCCAGTGAAAATTGGTGGCTGGCAGAGGCTGAATCAGAAGTCCTCTCTTATAGCCTATATCCTAAGGTGGGGAAGCTGCAGTAAGGTCCTCCAGAAGCCCAGGGTGTTTCTTACTTATCTTTATCTTAGGACAGCCCAGCTCACTGCAGACCTCCTCCTGTTGGTAGACAGAGTTCCATTGGACTCATATCCTGCCAGCCCTGGTCATGGCTTTGGTCTGCAGTGTGAATGGCTCTGCTGGAAGTAGAAACAAGTAGAGAAGGCAAGGGATCACTTGAGGCCCTGGAAAATGAGATCTGAATGTTCTTGTAGAGCCTGGAAGGGTCCTAGAGGAAGAGAGTATTTTCTCTTGGAAATAAGGGGTATCATCCTATAGGGTATTGGAAAGTGTGTGCGAGACATGGGGAATATGAAAATCGAATATGCTTTGTGTGTCTAGTACAAGGTATATGTTTGGGTAGTCTGTATATGTATGTTTTTGTATACATCTCTTGCATATCTTCTTGTAGGATTGTTCTACAATATAGAAATACATTCTCTTGTATTTCTGATGCTAAGCATACTTTTTAATGTGCAGAGGTGTATGAGACAGAAATGCAGAATTCCAAGAAATGTTGGTGGTGTTTTTACAAGAAAAATGACACACAGCCAAAGAAATCCTAACAGTGGCTATGTGAGTTCTTTGGTCTCTTCCAGTAAGTTTCCTTTTAACATTCTCCTTTTTCTTTGCAGAACCTGAGAAAGGTAACATGATGATAGTGGTTGTGAGCGTTACTATACTTGCTGTTATTTTACTTGGAGTTTTGGCCATAAAGGTAAGAAGCCCCCATAAAGTTCAGTGTTATAATTGGAGTAGGAACTCAGAGACCTGAAGATGTTTTTGGACAGATAAGACCTTGGACACTTTTCAGGATTAATGCTGGCCTCTTGTAAATGTGGGTTTGTGATGTGTGATTCTTTCTAATATTTCTCTGGAGATGAATTCTGTAGCTGATCTTCATGCAGTGGTTTCTGACCCTGGGGAGGTATATTGTAAAAAGACTTCCTTGCTTCTTCATAATATACATATAAGAGTAACTATACATTTAATTATGAATTGAACTTGACTAGTTCGGATCATGCATTTGAAACTCTAAATGGGCTGCATTATTTATGTATGTAGAAACTATAGGTCAAGGGGAAAGAATTCTGTATTCCCTGGCTCTAGGTGAGGATTTCTTCTCCCAGGGTGCTCATATTTTGCTGTTAAATCAATAGAAAGACTAAAATTTGGAGAAAAAATTTCTACCCTCACTAGATATTTACAAAGTTAAGCTATGATCTGCAGTTTACTGCAGCCTTCAGTACGGATTGAAGCTCAACATCAAGAAACCAAAGATACTCACCACTGGGCCAGTTGGCAGTATCATGATAGACAATGAAGAGATTGAGATTGTTAACAGCTTTAGCTTGTTGTTGTTAATTGCCTTCTAATTGAGCACAACTCATAGTGACCCTATGAACAAAAGTCCTGAAGCCCCTCTATAAATTTATCAAAGTTCATAGAGTTTCCAGAGGCGTGTTATTTAGGAAGTGGATGCCATTCCTGCCTCCAAATCTCTCATAGTATGTTGTTATTGTTATGTGCCATTGAGTCGCCTGTGATGTACAGCGACCCTGCGTACAATAGCTCTGAACTCTTACCTGTCCTGAGCCAGTCTCACTAATTCCGACACGCCAACCCACATTGCCCCAGTTATTATATCAATCCATCTCATCCTGGGTTTCCTTCTCCTGCACTGTCCGTCCACCCTTCTGAGCATGATGTCCTTCTCCAAGAACCGATTTCACCTGGCCACATGCCCAGAGTAAGTGAGGCAGAGTTTCAAAATCCTAGCCTCCAAGGAGATACTTGGTTTCACCCTCTCCAAGACACCTATTTGTTTTCTTGGCAGTTCATGGTATGTTCAAGACTCTTGTCCAATGCCACAATTAGAAGGCGTCTATTCTTCTTCTGTCATCCTTAGTCATTGTCCAATTCTCTGAAGTATAACAAATAATTGAGAAGACCATGGCCTGGATTAGGCACACCTTTGTATCTAGACTGACATTGTTGCTCTTGAGCACTCTGGAGAGGTCCATGACAGCAGATTTTCGCAGTGCAGTTTGTCTTTTGATTTCCTGACTGCTGGTGTTAAGAGTGTTGATTGTGGATCTGAGCAAACTGTAATTGCTAACAACCTCAGTCTCCTGTCCACTTACCATGGTGCTGCCATTTGGCCCACTAGTGAGAATCTTTGTCTCCTTGATGTTAAGCTTCAATCCATATTTAATGCTTTAGCTTGTGTGTCTCCAAAAAATCAACACTCTTGGTATCAGCAGCCAGAAAATCAAGAGACGAATTGCACTGGGAAAAATCTGCTGTCAGGGACCTCTCCAGAGTACTGAAGAACAATAGTGTCAGTCTAGAGACTAAGGTGTGCCTGACCCAGGCCAAGGTCTTCACAATTACTTGCTATGCACCAGAGAGCTGGGCAGTGACTAAAGATGACAGAAGGAAAATTTATGCCTTTAAGTTGTGGTGCTGGAAAAGACTATTGAATACATCATGGACTGCTAAGAGAGCAAATAGGTCCAACCATGAGAGGTGAAACCAGGCTTCTCTTTGAAATCAAGGATTTTGAGGCTTTGTCTGACATACTTTAGCATGTTGCCAGAAGAGACCAATACTTGAGAGGAACATCATGCTTAGAAAGGTGGAGGGAAAGCACAAGAGAGGAAGACCCTGGATGAGATGGATTGACTCAGTGATGGGGGGAGGGGAGTAGGTGTGTCTGAGATGACGAATTTAGCTCAGAATAGAGCAGGGTTCAGAGCAGGTGGAACCCATGCTACCTGGACCACCAAGTGGAATTCATCCTGTCTGATCCCTGAGCAGAACCCAGGCCATCCCAATGGAGGCTGCCTAAATAGAGAACACCACAGCAGAGGACATCTCACGAACCTTGTTCAGATTTAGAGGAGCAGACGGACTAGGAAGAAGGATTGGCCACCCACTTCTGAAATAGCAGGCCTCTGAAAACCCTATGCACAACAGAACACACGCAGATTA